TCAATTTTATATGTGAAAAAGGTGTCTTTCAAGTTTTTAGAGCTATAGAGTGTATAAATACGTTTATTCTGTGTTGTGGATTGTGACAAAGTGCATACTAAGTGCCCACGATTTTGTTTATTAATTATTTTAAAACAAAATATGGAAGTACTCTAAAAAGAATGTTTGCAAAAGGTGATGCTGGGAACTGCTGTTCTTAAAAATGCATTATCCGAGTATTTAGTACGATTTATACAGTTAATTTTCTATAAGGTGTTTAAATAAATAAACTAAATAATGAACGTTTTGCATTCGGCAACCAATAATGCACGTTTGTGTATTATTGGTTGCCGGATGAGGACATATAATGAACAATGACTAAAGAATACAAGGACATGTAACGGCCATATACGGGCTGCAGCCAAATTTGTGACCTTTAGACGCCATTTTTTTGGACATAACGAATGAATCATCAGCTGTTCATCAGCGACAATTTTAGCGATTTTTAATAGTTGGTTGTGTGTAGTGAACTTTGTATAAACTTTATTACAATGGTAATTTGTTCTGCTTTCAAGTGTAAAAGGCGCAATGGTAAGAAAGATCCAGGAGTTACGTTTTATAGGGAAATAAACAGTCCGCTACACCTTTTTAGCGTTTTTTTTTATTGAATTCGATAATTATTTTTCTGATATTATATGTACTTGATATGTGCTATACGTCGATAGTAGTTTTGTATCTTTTGTTAACATTTTAATACGTTTCTTTCGTAATTAATTAGTATGATACCACAGGACACACCAGAGGCGTAGTGAAAATATTTACCAAAAATATAAATATCGTTTCAAGCGGCTATGTTAAGAAAAATATGTGCCACGGCACTGTTTGGAAGAATGGTCACAGTTTGGTCTCGGTTGCTATTTGTCCTTGTATTCTTTAGTCAATGATAATGAAGAACAATAACCATGACAAGGACTACAATGACGTCACAAAGCGAGTAGTTTTCGCATGCACCTGGCGGACACTTTTGGCTGAATGTGCAGTCCTATTAGTTTAACTGTTCTTGATCTAGTTGCGTATTCTGAGCTGCTAGATACTAAAGTCACGGCACATAAAACAATCGGCACGCCAACTCTGCTCAGATTCCATTGTTTAAAATTTCTATAAAATTTGACCTTGACGGCGCCATTATCGTTTCCTAGTCAGGGCCGGATTAAAACTTATCAAAAAATTTCTCATAAAATACGACAGAGTCGTATTAAAAAAATACTGTAATTGACTGAAACTGAATTTTATTTACAATACTTTGTCCAAACAATGAATCGTTAACCGTGCATACTTCTTCGAAAAGTAAAATGAAAATATCACTAAATATTTCACTGTAAAGAATAGACAATTAAAATTAAAAACATGCAACTAACAAAACATGCCAGGAGTTACAAAACAAGAATTAAAGAAATACCAATAAAATATTTATTGAACAATATAAAGAGGTTGCTGCACAAATTGTGCTCCATCAATAAGTAGCAAATTTTATTAATATTCAAATTTCACAAATTAATAAATCCACAATTTTTTTGAGAAACTTCTATTTTTTTTCATGGCAGGAAACAAAGTAGGTACCGCATTGATTGTATTTTATACGGTTAGAAAGTGAATTGGTAAACATTTTAAATTCAAAATGAACAGAACGCAACTTGTACCTTTTGTGGGCCTTATTTACATCTTCAATCAAGTCTTCTCTATTAGCTGCAATTTCCCATGGTCTTGCCCTAAAAATGTATTGTTAACTTATTTTCGATATATTCATTTTATTTACTTTTATAATTATATTTAAATTAATAGTATAATAATTTTTAAATTTAATTTTTAATGTCTAGATACAACATTAAATTTTACTAAATATTTAACATTAAATCTTACTAATAGGGCACGGCGGTGCAAAAATGAGACAGTAAAAATTTGAGGTAAAAATGAGACAGTGAGTTTTTTCTATTATTAAACATCTTTTTCTAAACTCTGATTAAGTAAAAACGTTAAGTCTTCTTTTAAGTTGAGCATGCCTATATTAAATTTAAACAATTATGGCACAGAAAATATCAAACATGATGTATTTGAAGGAATCACAAAAAACACTCATAAAACTTTCAAATAAAAGGCGCTAACTTTTCCCGCCACGGCAGCCTAAATTGTCGGGGAGAACCACATCTGTCCTAATGAGCATCTGTCCTACCAGTTGTTCGGGTAGAGTCGTCCACCCGAACGCGTCCCGAACGTTAAAAACAGCGTTGTCAGGTTGTCGCATTTTCAAGAAGCAATTAACAAAATTTTCTGTATCGGAAAAAGAGTGTAAGGTATTTATATTATGTAAATATAAAATAAAAATAGACTAGAGACTTAATTAAGACTTTATTGACATATTTAATAAATAATTACAAGGTTTTATCTAAATTATTTTTCTTGTGTGTTTGGTTGCCTATACCTAATTCTAAAATAGTTTATATTATGCATTGTTTTGTTTTTTTATTCTCACAAATAAGAAATAAATGTTTTATAGTTTATATTATAAAAAATCAATGATTATACATTTTATTTACACCCCTTACACTGTTTTGTGTACTACCAAGAGTATATTTCGTGACCTCTTATGATAAATGGGCACAAATAGTTTTATTACTTAATGCTTAGATTAAAATATTTAATCTATGATTAAAATTTAATAATATATTTGTACATTAAATATAATAGACTAGAGGCCCAATTAAGAGTTTACTGACATAATTACTAAAGTTCATCTAAAGTTACAAGATTTTTTTATATGTATTTTTGGTTGCCTATGACAGGCGAGGGCAGGCGTTTATTTAACTCACAAATAAATGTTTTATGGTTTTTATTATAAAACAAGGATTAATTTATTATACACCCCTTACACCTTCACAAAGATTCCAAGGGGAATATGTCGTGACCTCTTATATTAAAATGGACAAGGTTTATTAGTCAATGTTTTAGTTACCCATCAGCGTCTTTAATAAAAATCTAATGTATTCTATCTAGTGTATTTTTCATAGAAATGATCTGACATCATAAAAAGCAAATTTTATCAAAAAACTTTTTGATTATCTATATTGTTTAACTTGTAGTTTAACCTAACTTGCACATAATTTTTTAATTTAAAAGCAATAATTTTTTTTCTTGACAATATGGTGAACTTTAATATAACTAAACTCACTTTATAACTTAATTTTTGTAATATTCGTTTTTTAGCAATTAGAGTAAAAATTAATTAGGATACAATTTCTAATTTGAAAGATATATGAAATTTCATCAGTTTTTCCAATTAAATAAATATACAGGTTTTCTAAAAATATCTAATTTACTTATTATTTTGACATATCTACTAACTTTAATTTTTTTTGTTTTTAGGTATTTATGTTCTTTTTTAAAAATAAATTAAGAATGATTCAGAACCACGGATGTGTGTTCAGAACTGACTCCTTTCGGCCCAATTTAATTAGATATGTTATAAAACTTACAAATAAATGATTTTTTTTTCAAACGCAACAAAAGTATTAATTTTGGCGACGTGATTGAAAAATAAAAGTAATTTTAATGCCTAGGCATAAAAATAAAGCACTTTTACGCATAGCAATAAAAGTACGAAAATATATTATTAAACTGGATATAAAAGTACAAATTCAACGAGTGTAACCATAGTTTCGATAGTACTGCATGATCGAATAAAAACGGCCTCATGATGGCTATGAAAATGAAGATCGCTGTCATTTTATATGTAAATTTATATGGAAATGTCATCGATTGTCATTTCATAGCTATCGCTGACGCCGTTTTATTCGGATCATACGGTATACTTAGTTACAAAGGGTAATAATACTTTTAAATCTTGTTATATTATTTGCAAAGTTTGAAATTGTTTAAAAAAATATTTGTGACGTTTGAAAAAAATAGCATGTCCTATTCGGAGTAAAAATGACGGTTTGTGCCTATGGCCTGTAATGAAATAAATTATTTTATAATATGAAAAATTGTTTACCTTTTTATTTTTTATAGATTATTGTCAAAAAAGTGATTGGGTGCAGTATTAGTAATAAGAATAATACACAATGGTCACAGTGGTCGGCTATGAAATAATGATTGCTGTCATTTTATATTTAAAATTATATGGGGAATGTCATCGATAATCATTAACAAGCTAACTGGACGCCGTTTTTTTTCGATCATACAGTACTATACAATTGAAAAAAAATTGCTGCTCTTCCAGCTGTTTTTTTTTTGATTTTACAGTATTTATATATATTTATATGTAATTTGTTTTAATCAACTTTACATATTACGGTTTTTATGAATTCCTTTGCTCACATATTTTGTTCTTATTATTTTACCGGTTTTGTCTCAAGGCACTCAGGCAAGAAATACCTAATTATTAATGTTAAATTATTATTAACTACTTTTAGGGGTCGTTACAGGTAGTCTTTGCTATACACAGAATAACTAATTAACTAGTTACTTTACTACGAATAAGCTCTCCATAGTCTTTACTTTCACTCTCATTAACATAATTGGAATAAAGTGAAAAAGAAATTTCTGTAAATTTCAGAATTTTCCCTTTTTATTATTTTCTTGACAATTTGGAGATCTTTTTTTATAAAGTACTTTTTTATAACTTTATACCGTAATTTTGTAATTTTAATAAATAAAATGTTTTTTAGCAATACAGAGTATTGCAACCACAGCTGCAACTTTAAGATAGATATTTTTTTCTGGTTATATTTGAAAAATTAATTCAGATCGATACATTTTTTTAGTTTGAAAAATATTTGAAATTCTATCAGCTTTTGCAATTTAAAATACAGGTTTTCTAAAAATACCTTAACTTATTATTTTGACATACTAACTTAAATCATTTTTGCTTTTAGGTATACTCGTTCTTTTTTAAAAATAAATTCATATTGATTCTCAGACTGATTAAAAATATTTTAATCTAGAAAGATAATAATACAAATAAATATACTTAAAAAAATATTTATTACATAGAATAGGTATACTAGAGTTGGCATTTCAGGCCTTGGGTGCCGATTTTTGTGTGTATGAAGAGTACGGTCAACACGCTTAGTAAAATAAGATGTGTACTATTTGTATTTGGCAGAATAAGTTGTGGATTTTGTTTCTGAAAACAATAAATTTATTATATTACGACTTTGCTGCACACATGTATGGATAATTTATTTACCTTTATGCTTTAATGTTCAGACTTTACTGTAGTTTACGCTGCATCATTCTAAATTGTTCCCGAAGGGTATCCTGAAGACTTTATACATTTGTCCTACGTCAGATATTTTTCTGTAATCTTATATCATTGTCCTGACAAGATCTTCTAAATAAAGTATTCGAAAATACCCATGTTCTGTCTAAGCAGGTTTTTTTATCCTAGAGCTTAATATTCAATAAATCTACAAAATAAATGAGTTAACGAGGTTATAAATAGAAAACAAAAATAAATGCCTTTATAGGATCAGTCCTCTTAAATGTGCTATGTGATACACGATTGATACGATTTTCATGTATATGAAGAGTATGGCCAATATGCTTATTACAATCAGATGTATTGAACTTGGTATTGAATGCATAGGAAATCATCAGATTAAGTGTGGTTATGTAATAAATATTTTATATTTTTCTATCTCCGACCAGATCACCATAGCGATTCACACCTACACGCGTAAACACCAACCTAAGGCTTGCCGATATGTCCTTGTGCTAGAAGTATAATATAAAGGTCTGTGGTCTAGGAAGGCTGACACTTATGTCTCATATAATCGAAAAAACGGCGTCCAGTTGGCTTGGAAATGACGATCCTTGACATTCCCTATATAATTTTACATATAAAAGACACCGATCTTCATTTCATAGCCATCACTGACGCCGTTTTTTTTTCGATCATATTGTACCTACCACATGGTACATACCTACCTATCTCATATATCATATGCCTTATGGTTTTAAAGATGATAAATTGTCTTTTGTATTATGCGTATAGCTGTAATTCAAAAGAAATACATTTCGTAAAATACCACAATGTTATAGTGAATAGATTCATAATAAAATACTTACTAGTTTGCTTTTCCAGTTTAACGGTACTTATTTATCAGTTTTTAATCAGTTTTCCTTTGAGTTTCAGATTTCTTAACCTTAAAATTTTCACTCTTTTAAACCATCTCATTTTTGCTCATATTTTTATAATTACTTATTATGCCTAATACATGCCCGTGCTGTTTCCTGAAGAATGAATTTTTGTAAGCTACGATCTTGCAATTAAAACAATATCACATACCTGGAACCTGAAAGGACATCATGTGGGAAAAATAATTAAGAACATTTTTTCCGCAAATCACGGCTAATTTATTTTCAGGAATTTGTGGATAGCTTAATATTTTCTAAAAATTGTTAATCGTTTTACAGCTTTTGTTTGAATACATATTATCTAGATACACACCTGAGATTTCAACCCATGTAGACGTATTCTTATATAAAAAACACATTATCAAAGGTAATCGTGTTGCTATCACTTTCATTTTGTTTATGCTTTATTTGTAAATATTTCCGGATTATTTTATATCAGGTTCTATTACATTATTCATAACATTATTCGTCAATGTTCATAAAAATTATAATTTTAAACTTTTTCTGAGGTTAATCTTGTCAAATTCCAAAACAAAACAAGATTGAAAAGTATGCGACGTTGACAGATTTAGTACGTTAGCCAGGACAAAATTCCTGAAACAGGAATTTTTAGGACTACCGAACATGCCCGAAGTGACGTTCGGTTGGTAGGACAAATACCCCGTAGGACGAATACCGCTGAGAACCACATCTGTCCTAATGAGCATCTGTCCTGTACCAGTTGTTCGCAGAGTCGTCCACCGAACGCGTCCCGAACGTTAAAAACAGCGCGTTGTCAGGTTGTCGCATTTTCAAGAAGCAATTACCAAAAATTTTCTGTATCGGAAAAGAGTGTAAGGTATTTATATTATGTAAATATAAAATAAAATAGACTAGAGACTTAATTAAGGATTCTGGTTGACATATTTAATAATAATTACAAGGTTTTATCTAAATTATTTTCTTGTGTGTTTAGTTGCCTATACCTAATTTCTAAAAATAGTTTATATTATGCATTGTTTTGTTTTTTTTGCTCACAAATAAGAAATGTTTTATAGTTTATATTATAAAAATCAATGATTATACATTTTATTTACACCCCTTTACATTGTTTTGTGTACTACCAAGAGTATATTTCTGTGACCTCTATGATAAATGGGCCCACAAACAGTTTTATTACTTAATGCTTAGATTAAAATATTTAATTATAAATAAACTCCTTTAATCTATGATTAAATTTAATAATATATTTTGTACATTAAATATAATAGACTAGAGTCCAATTAGAGTTTACTGACATAATTACTAAAGTTCATCTAAAGTTACAAGATTTTTATATGTATTTTGGTTGCCTATGACAGTGAGGGCAGGCGTTTATTTAATCCCACAAATAAATGTTTTATGGTTTTTATTATAAACAAGGATTAATTTATTATACACCCCTTACACCTTCACAAAGATTCCATAAATATGTCAGACCTCTTATATTAAAATGGACAAGGTTTATTAGTCAATGTTTTAGTTACCCATCAGCGTCTTTAATAAAATCTAATGTATTCTATCTAGTGTATTTTTCATAGAAATGATCTGACATCATAAAAGCAAATTTTATCAAAAAACTTTTGATTATCTATATTGTTTAACTTGTAGTTTAACCTAACTTGCAATATTAATTTTTTAATTTAAAAAGCAATAATTTTTTTTCTTGACAATATGTAGAACTTTAATATAACTAAACTCACTTTATTTAATTTTTTGTAATATTCGTTTTTTAGCAATTAGAGTAAAATTAGGATACAATTTCTAATTTTGAAAGATATATGAAATTTCATCAGTTTTTCCAATTAAATAAATATACAGGTTTTCTGGGGTAAATATCTAATTTACTTATTATTTTGACATATCTACTAATCCTTTCTTTTAATTTTTTTTTGTTTTAGGTATTTATGTTCTTTTTTAAAAATAAATTAAAGAATGATTCAGAACCACGGATGTGTGTTCAGAACTGACTCTTCGGCCCAATTTAATTAGATATGTTATAAAAACTTGCAGCGTAAATGATTTTTTTTCAAACGCAACAAAAGTATTAATTTTGGCGACGTGATTGATAAAATAAAAGTAATTTTAATGCCGCATAAAATAGTTAATTTTTACGCATAAGCAATAAAAGTACGAAAAATATTATTAAACTGATATAAAGTGTCAAATTCAACGAGTGTAACCATAGTTTCGATAGGTTAGGCGATCGAATAAAACGGCCTCAGCGATGGCTATGAAATGAAGATCGCTGTCATTTTATATGTAAATTTATATGGGAATGTCATCGATTGTCATTTCATAGCCATCGCTGACGCCGTTTTTATTCGATCATATGGTATAATTAGTTACAAGGTATTACTTTTAAATCTTGTTATATTATTTGCAAAGTTTGAAATTGTTTAAAAAAAATATTTGTGACGTTTGAAAAAAATAGCATGTCCTATTCGGAGTAAAATGACGGTTTGTGCTTATGGGCTGTAATGAAATAAATTAATTTATAATATGAAAAATTGTTTACCTTTTTTATTTTTATAGATTATTGTCAAAAAAAAGTGATTGGGTGCAGTATTAGTAATAAGAATAATACACAATGGTCGCGGTCGGCTAGAAATAATGATTGCTGTCATTTTATATATTTACAATTATATAGAATGTCATCGATAATATTAACAAGCTAATTGACGCCGTTTTTTTCGATCATACAGTACTATACAATTGAAAAAAAAATTGCTGCTCTTCCAGCTGTTTTTTTGATTTTTACAGTATTTATATGGTGGCTTATATGTAATTTTGTTTTAATCAACTTACATATTACGGTTTTTATGAATTCCTTTTGCTCACATATTTTTGTTCTATTATTTTACCGGTTTTGTCTCATACTCAGGCAAGAAATACCTAATTATTAATGTTAAATTATTTCTTTTAGGGTCGTTGAGGTAGTCTTGCTATACACAGAATAACTAATTAACTAGTTACTTTACTACGAACAAGCTTCCATAGTCTTTACTTTCACTCTCATTAACATAATTGAATAAAGTGAAAAAGAAATTTCTGTAAATTTTAGAATTTTCCTTTTATTATTTTCTTGACAATTTGAGATCTTTTTATAAAGTACTTTTTTATAACTTTATACCGTAATTTTGTAATTTTAATAAATAAAATGTTTTTTAGTTAATACAGAGTATTGCAACCACAGCTGCAACTTTAAGATAGATATTTTTTTCTGGTTATATTTTGAAAAAATTAATTCAGATCGATACATTTTTTTAGTTTGAAATATTTGAAATTCTATCAGCTTTTGCAATTTAAAATACAGGTTTTCAAAATAGCCTTAACTTATTATTTTGACATACCAATTTAAATCATTTTTTGCTTTTAGTATACTGTTCTTTTTAAAAATAAATTCATATTGATTCTCAGACTGATAAAAAATATTTTAATTTGTAAAGATAATAATACAAATAAATATACTTAAAAAAATATTTATTACATAGAATAGTGCTACTAGAGTTGGCATTTCAGGCCTTGGGTGCCGATTTTTGTGTGTATGAAGAGTACGGTCAACACGCTTTAGTAAAATAAGATGTGTACTATTTGTATTTGGCAGAATAAGTTGTGGATTTTGTTTCTGAAAACAATAAATTTATTATATTACTACCTTTTATGCACACATGTATGGATAATTTATTTACCTTATGCTTTAATGTTCAGACTTTACTGTAGAAGTACGCTGCATCATTCTAAATTGTTCCCTAAGGGTATCCTGAAGACTTTATACATTTGTCCTCGTCAGGATATTTTTCTGTAATCTTATGTCATTTAAACCTGACAAGACTTTCTCTAAATAAAGTATTCGAAAATGCCCCATGTTCTGTCTAAGCAGGTTTTTTTATCCTAGAGCTTAATATCCAATAAATCTACAAATAAATGAGTTAACGAGGGGTTATAAATAGAAAAACAAAATAAATGCTCATAGGATCAGTCCTCTTAAATGTGCTATGTGATACACCTATTGGATACGATTTTCATGTATATGAAGAGTATGGCCAATATGCTTATTACAATCAGATGTATTAACTTGGTGGCTGAATGCATAGGAAATCATCAGATTATGTGGTTATGTAATAAATATTTTATATTTTTCTATCTCCCCACCAGACCATAGCGATTCACACCTACACGCCAGAAACACCAACCTAAGGCTTGGCCGATATGTCCTTGTGCTAGAAGTATAATATAAAGGTCTGTGGTCTAGAAGGCTGACACTTATGTCTCATATAATCGAAAAAATTAAATGTCCAGTTGGTTTGGAATAACGTGATCCTGACATTCCCTATATATAATTTTGCCATATAAAAGACACCGATCTTCATTTCATAGCCATCACTGACGCCGTTTTTTTTTCGATCATATTGTACCTACCACATGGTACATACCTACCTATCTCATATATCATATGCCTTGTTTTAAAAGATATAAATTGTCTTTTGTATTATGCGATAGCTGTAATTCAAAATATTTCAGAAAATACCACAATGTTATAGTGAATAGATTCATAATAAAAATACTTACTAGTTTGCTTTTCCAGTTTAACGGTACTTATTTATCAGTTTTTAATCGTTTTCCTTTGAGTTTCAGATTTCTTAACCTTTTAAAATTTTCACTCTTTTTTAAACCATCTCATTTTTGCTCATATTTTTATAATTACTTATTATGCCTAATACATGCCCGTGCTGTTTCCTGAAGAATGAATTTTTGTGTTACGATCTTGCAATTAAAACAATATCACATACCTGGAACCTGAAAGGACATCATGTGGGAAAAATAATTAAGAACATTTTTTCCGCAAATCACGGCTACTTATTTTCAGGAATTTGTGGATAGCTTAATATTTTCAAAAAATTGTTAATCGTTTTGGCTTTTGTTTTGAATACATATTATCTAGATACACACCTGAGATTTCAACCCATGTAGACGTATTCTTATATAAAAACACATTATCAAAGGCAATCGTAAGCTTGCTATCACTTTCATTTTGTTTATGCTTTTATTTGTAAATATCATTTCCGATTATTTATCAGGTTCTATTACATTATTCATAACATTATTCGTCAATTGTCCTCATAAAAATTATAATTTTAAACTTTTTCTGGAGGTTAATCTTTGTCAAATTCAAAAACAAAACAAGATTGAAAAGTATGCGACGTTGACAGATTTAGTACGTTAGCCAGGACAAAATTCCTGAAACAGGAATTTTTAGGACTACCGAACATGCCCGAAGTGACGTTCGGTTGGTAGGACAAATACCCCGTAGGACGAATACCGCCACCTCATACCGCCACCTCAATTGTCGGAGCGACTCGTTTAAAGTCGGAATATTGTTGTGTTTGTCTTGTGATGCGTTGGAACCAGGGGGGTGACAGTGAAATAGGAAAATTGGAAACAGTCATTAGTGTCATTCCTGTCATTCTCCTCACGACAAGTATGGCCGCCTAGACAAGGACAGGGGTGCAACTTTGTTCATGTTTCAAAGCGATAGCAAAGTAATTTGTAGCTTGATGCACTATGTTCAGTAGCAACATCGATTCGTAGCGATATTCTGATTTCTCGCTTTGTGGCGAGGCGACAGTCTAGACACGTGTGCAAGAGTGTGATAGTGATACCATATTTCGCAGCATTTGAGCGACAATAGCGGTAATGAACATGGTATCGATCTGGTTTTGACATCGCTTAAATGGTTGCTAACTTGAACAAAGTTGCACCCCCGGCATTGCTTTGTCTAACTATTGTCTAACTTCACAGTTTATAATTGACAGATTTCAGTTTCAGAGACAACTTCAGATTTTGTTCTAGAATGTAAATTCGAAAATATTCGACGCCATTTTAATTCATTCCGTTTAGTTTCGTTTTGGAAGTTCAATTTAATATTTCGGCTGAAATTTATAAATATAATGGTAATAAAGTATATATAATATATATTACATGAAGAACTTCTGGAGAAAATGACGTTTCTGCAGTAGTAGGTATGTCCCATGTATATGAAAATAGTAAATAAACACTGTTTTTACATTTTTTAGATGCAAGAAAATGGTGTTATAATATCTTTTGATCGGCGATTTTTCTGAAAATGGAAGCACTACAGCAAGGTAAGATCATTTTAACTATAGCCAACATTAGTTATCTCCAGTATGTGCGATTTATCGTCAATACCGCAATAAATCGGACTCGATAATCTGATTATGTTATCCACCAAAAGTCTTTTTGCTTCTTTTTGATTAATAAGCCAGGCCCTCTTTGGGAATAATGGACGCTTTTTTTAAACAGTATATTTATATTTTATACCTATTGATATTTTTACATTGTTAATTTTAGTATATAAAAAATTGTTTTTCTGTTTCTAGGTTTTTGTATAAGGCCCTGTTTTCATGTTCTGTGTCCGTTTTTCTGCCCTTTGAAGTCTGCGAATACGTGTGTTTATTTACAAATTACTGTAAGTCATTCTATACCTTAACTAATTTATTAAAAGTACATATAATTAACTAATTGGCTGAAACAATACAATCCTCTTTATATTTTTATATTTATTTAGTCACGTTGTTCCATATTTCAAATAAATATATGTGAATAAATAATTTTTTGGTTTTATTTATGAAAAGAAAAATACAAAATACATTTGAACTGGGAAAGAGGACCCGCCATTGAATAACCGGAAACGGAAATGAGAATTAAGCCATCATGTCCTTATCATGTCAACCTGTCAATTGGAAAATTAGTTCTCCAGACGACAACGAAGGCTTTCGGTGGCGTATCGTGTTTCCACGATTTAACACAGAGTTGACACTTCTTTCTAGTTAATTATTTTATGGTTGGGTTGGAACCATGGTACAAAGAATACAAGGTATGATCGATAGCGGCTCCAATTTCGTTCAGTTCGCGCATACCACCTGTGACGTCACCAGGAAAATAATGAATAAATAAAAAATAAAGAAAGTTGACAGGAGATCTGCATTTTTTGGGGTTATGGTTAAGAATTGTTTATTTTTAAGACTTTTTAGTTCGTTTAATTTAACAATTACTAAACCAGCAGTTCCAAAATATATTTAAAAATAATAATTATCTATTAACATGATTTGGACGATGGGTAAGAATACTAAATTTATTTCTATATTCGGTATAAAATTGTTTATTAGGTTTTTCCTTATTTGCGATGTTTATGGTAAACAATTTTCATTTTCATTGCCTCTGAATTCACATGAGGACAGAGTTGAGGATATCTATGGAAAAAGTAAACCAAGAGGAATTGTTACATCATTTAAAAAAATGTTGGAAGTTTATTGTTTCACATCGAAAAGTAGAAAATGCCAATGCAGATGAAATTATACGGTAATTGTGATAGATGTAATTCTAAGGGTGAAGTTTATTATAATTAGTGGAAGTAATACTAAGGGTGAAATTTATTATACTCATGACCTGTGCTTTTTATATGTAGATGTTTCTGGTTTTTTAGAATAAATCGGCTTTAACTCCAAAATTTAAAGGAAGTATTTGCATTACCCAGAATATGCCCATCAAGGATTATATAGCTCAAATTTCCTTTAATGGCAGGCAAAATTATTCAATGCAAATTAACTTTTTAAGACTGAAATATTAAATAGTTTACAATATGGTATATCACTAAAATATATATTACTTTAGGTACAATTAGGGCCCGATACATTTCAAAAGTAGAATATTATTTTATATTAAATGAGGTATTGTACTAACAATCAATTTATATTAATAACGGAGAGATTAAAAAATAACGGAATAAATAGTTCTTTCTTTTATACTACAAAAATAAACTATAGAATACAACAACAGTATTAAAAAAATAAATAAAAGTTATGTCCCGGCCGAGATTCGAACTCGGGTCTCGCTTCCTAGCCGCCCAACTCCTTACGCACTGCTCCACAGTAACTTGCTTAGCGATAATTCAATGACGGTATATAAACAAAAAAACAGGTTTATAACAATATCTTGACGATTTGAACTGGCGCGCGGAGCGTGCTGACCAATAGCGCCTGTTATCACCTGTGACGTAGCGACCAACCTGCGCAATATCATACCTTGTATTCTTTGTACCATGGGTTGGAACTAGAGGTGGGCCAGTCTGCGATTTTTGTGGAGCTGCTACGCTCTGCGACTGCTCCAATAAAAGCAGTTAAGTAAGATTTTCGGAGCAATTAACCTATAAATTAAAAATGTAGTCGGTTAATTGCTCCGAAAAATCGCACTGGTGTTCGGCTGTTCGGCACCGTTCGTTGCATTTACTAAAAAAGTACAGGACTATAGGTGTGATTATGATAGGGCAACATCATCGTCTAGTTTTTGCTTATTTATATCGTATGATCGAAAAACGGCGTCAGCGATAGCTATGAAATGAAGATTGCTGGCATTTTATATGTAAAAATTTATGGGGAATGTTATCGATTGTCATTTCCAAGCCAACTGACGCCGTTTTTTTATTTCGATCGGGTAGTGGCGATTTTAACGTCTGTGCATCGGGGTAAGTCACCGACGGCCTCAGCGTTCTCCGGCCCTTGCGAACAAGATTCGAACTTTTCCGAACTACGGGCCTTAGAGCTCTTAATCGCGGCTGTACGGTACTATACTGATGTCTTAGTTTGATAGATGTTGCTATATTAGTCTATTCAGAAGAATTTGAGTGTTTCTAAGTACCAAGCACTTGTTATAAATATCTTAAAGAGTCTGTTCATTTTCACAGAGTGATGGGCCCATGGTAAAAACTAATGTTATATTCAATTCAAAGTAGAAACTGTCAAAAAAATCTTTATTAGTGACCGGTTTCGGCTATTTAGCCATCATCAGACCTTAAAAATAGATATAAATAATAAAACTTATATGAATGTATATGATCAAATAAAAAGATTTAGATATACAACAAAAACACAGATACAAACAACTAACAAATAAACATACTAACAAGTTAAAATTACCTTGTCAAAAAAACATCTGTTTGTGATTATTATAATACATAAATATCTTATTTAGATTCATGAAAGAAAAAGCGAACGCTGCTACGTTTCCCCGTTCCCAAATCCCAACAGCTCCAGTGCACACAGAATATACTCAATATACTATGGTCCAGTCGACTGCGACCTGCGACGACTGTGACTGAACAGTCTGACCGGGCGACGGGGCTAGAGCATTTTCAGAATTTACACTATTGCCTGCTATTATTGTTCGCTTGCTACTCACGATGCGCAGATGTCTCAAACTTGTAAACTGCTCCGAAATGTCACTGCGATTTTCTTGGAACTGGAGCAGTCACATACTGCGACGTTAGTGGAGCTGTGACAAAGTAGCGGACTGCGATTTCACAACCCACCTCTAGTTGGAACCAGGGGGGTGACAGTGAAATAGGAAAATTGGAAACAGTCATTAGTGTCATTCCTGTCATTCTCCTCACGACAAGTATGGCCGCCTAGACAAGGACAGCATTGTTTTTGTCTAACTATTGTCTAACTTCACAGTTTAGAATTGACAGATTTCAGTTTCAGAGACAACTTCAGATTTGTTCTAGAACAAATTCGGAAAATATCTGACGCCATTTTAATTCATTCCGTTTAGTTTCGTTTTGAAGTTCATTTTAATATTTCGGCTGAAATTTATAACATAAAGGTAATAAAGTATATAAAATATATATTACATGAAAACCTTGAGAAACGACGTTTCTGCAGTAGTAGGTATGTCCCATGTATATGAAAATAGGTCGTAAATAAACACTGTTTTTACATTTTTAGATGCAAGAAAATGGTGTTATAATATCTTTGATCGGCGATTTTTCTAAAATGGAAGCAATTTACAGCAAGGTAAGATCATTTTAACTATAGCCAAATATTAGTTATCT